AGAGAGAGAGAGAGAGAGAGAGAGAGAGAGAGAGAGAGAGAGATCAGACCATAACAACAGTCGGAGACGGAAGAATTGAGGGGCAACACTTTAACAAAAAGGAAAGTGCTTTCTGCACTATCGAAATTCAAATTCAATTCATTGAATGGCGGGATTACCCGTCTCGTACCACGTCAGAGTAAACACACACAAAGCCGGCCGACTCATGCACCCAGCCGGCGTAATACAACACTACAAAGACCACCAACGACAGCAATCGATGAGGACACCTTGCCGACGAAGCCGACTACAACAGGAAGCCTCCTACTATCCACCGACTACTAAATTCCAGGGAGCAAGTGCTACACAACACAATGCCAACGAAGTCTATCGCTCGCGAATAGCCTTTGCGATTTCCATCAACGCCTGGCACATGAATTTGCTGACTTCATCGGATGCGGCGTAGTGCGTCTTCTGCACCTGCACTTCAGCTTCTAATGCCTCACATTGTCGTAGCTGAATGCTGCATTGCCGCTTCCTGGCACTCTCCATCGTGGCCGCCATCAACGCACCGTGCTTGTCCATGCACTCCGTCATTGCTTCGAACGTCTACTGCCGCGTGCTCTTCCTCTTTCCGAAACCATGGGGGCTGCTCGGCGTCTGGGAGGAACCACGAGTCGATCCCTCGTTTTCATCTTCCCCCCCCCGCACAGGCGTCGGCATCACCAACTGCTTCAAGATCAGTAGTTGTCGTCGATGGGAAACGCACACCGCCGCGGGCACTAGTTTCGGCAATGTTTTTGGGGTTGATGGTTTCGTTGAAACCGCTGGACCCTTCAATCTCGTCGTAAACGGCGCGGTCCATGTTGAAATTGAAGCAGGTCTCGCCCTCTTCTTGCCGTTCAACTGGAAGAAGTCGATTCCCCCGGACGACGATTGAAAATGATGAACTTTCTTGAATTGCTGCATGAGGTTGTCCCACTTCTTCCCGCATTTCTCCGGCTTCCTGTCGACACCCACATTCTTCAATTTTCTGGGGAGGTCATTCCATTTCCACTCCCTCGGCTTCATCCAGGTATAGGCATGCCCCATCCCTTGCAAGTGCGCATCCTGATCGCGTTTCGCCCGTATGAGCGCGATGATATGTTCGACACTCCAAAAGTTCCGCTTCTCCTCTGCGTCGCCGTCGCCTTCTCCGTCGTTCGCCTTTGCTCGCGCTTTCTTCGGCCGCCCACGACCGTTCCCGCTCGTCGCCTTCGTCTTGCCGCCCTTCCCCCCCCTGTCGCTGTTCTGCGATGGCGAGGCGTAACCGTCGTTCCCGTCTCCCGCCTCTCCTGCGTCGTCGTCGTCGTCGTCTTCGGACGGAAGCCCCGCATGTGGCTTCTCAACTTCTTCCGCCTGCCTGTCCATCCTCAGCCGCTCCACGCCCCGCCTGATTGCTTCCTCTCGCCCCTCCCTGATCTTTCGTCGCTCCTCCGCCCACACTAACCTCCCGTCGCGGTCGTCAACGACGTCGTCCAAGTACCCCCCCCCTCCTCGACAATGCCACGTCGACGTCCCAGGTTGGACGCAGCAGACACCGGAGCCGGGGACTGCATAAACGACGGACGACCTTACGTGCTCCTGGAGATGGAAGTCGCTCGTCCCTGCCACTGCTGCGCGCCTGCGGATTTCGATGATCGGTCCACTGTGGTTAACTGGCCGCCGTCGTCGCCGACATGGGGATTGACGATCACTGTGTGCGTCTGGCTTCCACACCTCCCTGTAGACAGACCGGAAGACAGGTTCGATCCGCCATGCCCTTCTTCCCCGTCGAGACCAGGCGCCAGCAGTTCAGTGAAGGACTGGCCGTGCACGCCGCCACTGCCGCCGCACAGCTCCGTCCAAGACCATTCCTGCGTAGAACCACTACCCAACGGAAGAGTGCGTGTCCGTCCCTCCCTCTCCTCCTCATCAGATGAGTCAGGGAGGGGTTGCAAATGCGGCGGCAGTGATGAATTACCGACCCCCAACGACAACCTGCTAGCCAGAGAAGAACTCCCAACGGCACGCCTGCTCACAACCTGCTCCCCTCCTCCCCTGGGGGAGCCCTGTCCACTATCTGTCCTGACGGCCTTCATCGGCGAAGTTTGTCTGTGTCGACGCCACGGCGCGTTCCCGACGAAACACACGTGCAACACTACGACGACGACCAGTAGGAAGACGGCGAGAAGCAGCAGCGGGAGCTTGCGAAAGATGTCATCCATGCAACGGACGACGGCAACGGCACTAGACGGAAGAGAACACGGCCGACAACGTAACTGCGACGCCCTGCACACGGCGACACGCGCTTGGCGACAAACGGAAGCCGTCGTCTTGTGGACGCGCTGTGCCGCCTCAAATATTCGCATTTGCCGACCGTTGGCCGGTTTCCCGCCACGGCTGAAGCCCAACCCCAAGTTGCAACGCGGTGTGCACCTTGGGGATGCTACCGGCCCGCTAACGGTTACCGTTGGCGTGGACATCGGGCCTCTTGAACGTTGGCGACCCACCATGTCCGTGCGCAAGTCGCCCGGACCACCGATGGACCAGACGCCGCCGACAAAAGAAGTCGACTGAGGTGCCGTCGAAGAGCGGGTTCTTCCCGATGGGGGAGCTCCGAGGATCCTACCGGAGGTTCCTTAGGGAAAATTGAAAATTGCCTGTGCCCCGAGGAATCCCCGAGGAATCCCCGAGGAAATGTTTTCACTTTTTTTTTTTTTTTTTTTTTCCCGAGGCGCCCGAGGAGTGTCGAACGAGCCCCTTTCTGTTCCAAGTTTGAGTGGGATGTCAACCAGTCCGGAGCAGGCAGACATCGCTGGAGGATTTGCCACTGAAGTGCTGTGTGCGGACTGGGCATAATGCGGGCATAGGTTGACCAAGGGATGGCCTGAATGTCAGCCTCTGGGGACTGTACCTGCCACTTACGAGAAGAGATTTATAATGCCGTGCTTCAAATGCGGAATGAAAAAAAAGGGGCCTAGGTTCTTTCCCTAAGAATTCTGGGTCCAAAAAAAAAAAAAAAAAAAAAAAAAAAGAGAATTCTGGGTCCAGTTCGGGGACCTGTTAGGAGGCTCCTTCACAGAGTATGGTAATGCAGTTTCTTTTTTTTCTTTTTTTTATTATAAATAAGCTGCCTTCTCCTCATCGCGGGACAGCCGTATATTTTTCTCTCACCTCACATATCTTTTAACTGGCGTTCTGCCATATGTCATCATGGAACATATCTTTCTTTTCAGAACCTACCTACCACTATTCCTAAGGCTATACAGGGGACCCCTGGAAGCATAGCTTTCTACCTCTCTTCGGTGAGGGGAGGTTACCTCTCTCCGTGGAGAGGGGTAACGGCATGTTTGCCCCTTTGCCCTAGCGTCAAGGGTGCAGGGTTGGGGCCGCCGGTGGGGGCCTGGCTAACACAAGGACCAAGCATTTGCCAGTAATTGTGCCTCCCTTTTCATCTTCTCCCACCCCTATAGAGTAACAGTAGTGTCTAAAGCCAACACTCTCCCACACACCACACACAACCCACTCACACACACACTCTTGAGGTTAATTCACTACTCAAGTTGGAAAGTCGTGTGATGTACGACATCGTACACAGTTTGGTGGGCACTTTAGTAGACTGGACGGGTGAACGGGTAACCGTTGCAGTGGAACCCGTGTTGGCCGAAGACCTTACTAATGTCGACTGGGAGGATCCAGCTGACTATCTTCTCGTGGGGGTCCATAGGCCCATAGCCCTACCCTCTGGCATATCCTGATTGGCTGCCTGGTGCTCCATCCCCCTCGTATCAAGCAGGTATGTGCTTGCAACAACGTAGAGCTCAAAGTGCGAGCAAACTTGGTATCCAGGGTGACCAAACAGTCAGTCACGCAACTTGATTGAGTTTTTAGGTTGTAGCCCCGTATGGCTGCGAGGCTATCCCGTCCTTACTTTCCCCATGACCATAGTCATGTTGCTTCTCAAAGGAGGAGCAAGAAAATTAGGTTAACGAAGCCGTCACTATGGTAGCTGAGCCTCGCGGGATAGGCCGGCTGAAAAACGACACCGACGGTAGCGGAACTGAGCGCTAGGCTAGCACCGTGCACCGGTACCCCTCCCCCAGATCACACCCCGATTCGTCCTCCATTTTCCAAATATGTGCCGGATGTATGTCTTTTTTTTTTCTTTTTTTTTTTGGGGGGGGACAATTGCTCCATTATATTCATGGGGAGCAGCAGTGCAACACGTGCTGGGAACCGGGCCCAACGTCCCATATCAAGACATTATACAAAACATGTGAAATGCCAGGGTCATTACCCGGCTTCGGCCGAGAATCACTTAGAAAATTTCAATGCAAGGATAACTTGTGATGCGCAACCTCACGCCCTGCGTGGCGCTCCGTACTTCGGTCGCCGATCAGAGTAGTTGGAGGCGTGGCCGAGGATTTTTGGCCGTGGGGTTGAGTCACCCGGGCAGAACGGGGGACTCGTTTTGGGCCGAGGGTGGTCTTGTTAGAGGTTCGATCCGTCGTCACGCAGCAGGGGTGAAGCAACAGACCGTTCCATGGGGGCCGTCAACGAAAACTCAAAAAGGAAAAGGCAAACAGAATTAAAAAAAGGAGGATAGAGGAGTGGAGTTTTTCCGCATCCTGCTGCGCTTGGTTTGTGCGGCCCTGGGGAAGGTCGCCCCGGGATTGAGTTTCAAGCCTCAGTGTCAGACTCGTCGAGCCCGCGCGGGTGACCTTGCGCGGGGTCAACTGGGATCGGGCAGGCAGAGGGAACCCATGTTCGAAAGTTAGCGGGGAGCGCACCCGCGCTGCGGGAGAGTTCTGGAAACCGAGCCACTCCTTCGTATCCTAGGACCAACCTTCACTAGGAACACGAATCCCCCTGTCGACACCAGCAACAGTTAAACCGAGGCCGCCACGTGGCGTGGGCCGAGGACCAGGGCAACACAGTTAGGTTGGTATAGGGGAATACTTGGGTGGGGGAAGAGAACCGATCAATCAATACAAACCCACTCCCTCCGATATGGCAGGCTCTGGCAGGGTTGTACACATGAACTTGCTCGGTTCTTCGTAGAGCGCTCCTCACGTCCGCGTCGCAGTACACGTTGTCGTCGTCTGCGATGGGGAAGGTCAGCAGCGCGCTGTGAGGGACCGAGGCGAAGGTCGGGCACGGCCAGGGACCCTCACTCACGTCCGTCGAGATGAACGTTGGCGCCATGCGATGATCGTCGAAATCCTGCCTTGCTCCTCTCTCTCTCTGCGTTAACGTGAGTGATGGCCGGGAATCCGAGGTTTGGCCGAGTGGCGAAGATATCAGCCGCGTCGTGGAGACACGACCGACTGATTGCTCCAGTCTTTGAGCGAAATCGAGGGACTGAGCCCGCCCATTCCGCCTAGATTCGGCGTCGCTGGGAGGGGGGAGGGGTCGAAAGGAGACGGGCGAGGGGTCATGCGCATACACCTGTCTCTTATACACATCTAGATGTGTATAAGAGACAGGTCGTGGAGACACGACCGACTGATTGCTCCAGTCTTTGAGCGAAATCGAGGGACTGAGCCCGCCCATTCCGCCTAGATTCGGCGTCGCTGGGAGGGGGGAGGGGTCGAAAGGAGACGGGCGAGGGGTCATGCGCATACACTTGGCATTCAAGGCAAAAAGCGGGCTCGGGGGAGGGAGGAGGGATCAACACACTCATACACTCATGCAGACGGCCGACGCCCCGCAAGCCCTATCATCGCTCTTGGAAGAGCGCACGCACACGTACTCCTACGGACCTTCCGGGACAAGGAGATGTTCAACATCCATAGACTCTCATACCAATGAAACGTTCAGCATCCATTGACTCTCATACCAAAGCATGCATACAACATAATACCCACACATCGGGACCTTGCACACATCACGCTGGGACCAAGCAGCAATGGAGATAAAAGCGAGCTCATTAGTATACAAAGATTCTCATACGGCTCGCCTCCCTGGGCCCAGCCCCCAATCCGTCTGAACCACCGACAACCATAGCCGCAAGGCCCTGCCGCTGTCGGCGTCCGATCTCCACCACTGCTTCGTCCCTCTGATTACCCCAAGTCTATCGCTAAGCTCGCCCGTCACTTGGGCTCGTCAAGCCTGTTTAACGCCGCGGACCTCACGCATAGCTCGCGCAGCATTGCAGCCGAGATCAAAGAGAGTGAGAGGAAGGGGTTGCGAGGATTTATAGCGCGGAAGGCGGTGGGGAGCCAGCGCGAAGCACGGGGTGTAGATGAGCAGGACAGAAGAAGGGCAGAGGTTCCGGAAGGATCGAAGGAGGCGAGTCGAGTGATCTGCATGATTGGGGTGGCCGTCCAAGTGTGGTGTGCTTCCCGCTACCACCACATTGACCCGACCATCCCAATCAGACAGCCAATCGTTCGCAGGGAGGGGAAAAGGAGGAATTTGGACTTTGCTAGAGGGAAGACGAAGAGGCATGCAGGAAGTGAATGCGCAGCAAGAAGGGAAGATGGTGCGACCGTGCGGGGATGCAGAGCGGGAGAAAGGGTTTACTCGGCACGCAAAAAATTGAAAAACAGCCGCGCATGCAAAAATTTGAAATTCCTTCCCCCGCTAATTCCCAACTGTTTCTTGAATTTCTCGCCGCGGCCGCTAACCGGCTATGCGAGAAAGGCCCTTAGAAAAAGAAAAAAAAGAAAATAGACCCCACTCTTCCCGACCACCTAGAATCCGGCATACGAGGGATTCTTACGGGAAGCCGCGGAGTACGGATCCTGGCTTATCACAAACTAGCCTACTCAGTCAACACAGCTCAAGAGATAGACTAAAACTCAGAAGGGCCCTGAGAAAAAGCCAGCAAAACTCAAACCAAAATAAATGACGCTCAGCTATCCGAACCTCAACCTGCTTCAACCACCCATCCTCCTTATCAAGAACTACTACAGTCTTCCCCTGAATACAACGTACGGTCATTAGAGCTGAATTTGGGGTATCCTTCAGTCTAAATACAGCTATAATGACCGTACATTGTATTTGGGAGAAGAAGGTAGGTTACGAGACACAGCAACCTGCCTCAGAACACTCCCATCTGTTAGGCTACAGGCCGGAACGACCCGCCTCAGCTCGGCTCCGACCCGTGTTGTCTTGATAACAGCCCCGAACAGCCACAGAACCGCCTTCCCCCTTCGAGGCTTCGAAGATTCCCTAAAACTCTTACCAGGCCTCCAAAGCCTTCTTCATGCTTGAGTTACAGGGCAGCACGACCAAACCCGCAGCTCCGACCGGCATTGACTTGCTTGCGTCGATAGTACTTAGGACCACATGCCTTTTGTGAGCACCTCCCCAGCCCACAATGTGTCATTTGCATGGTGGTGCCACAGGCCCGATAATTGTGTTGCCAACTCCGAAAAGGGTTCCTTTTTGCTTTTTTTTTCCTGCTGGAAAATGGGTCCAGCGTGCTTTTGCACCCCAATGTACAAAAAAGGGTTTCCATTTTACTGTTCTCACGTCCCATATGTTGGACAATGTACCCACACCTCATG